TCCACTCATGCATACACGGTGTGTGTACGCACCCATGCTTTCTGCTTTCAACCGCGTACACACAGACACCCCCATCTAAGATGCAGGAGCTTCACTGGGGGCAAATGGGTTTGTTATTTTTCTGGTGGTGTTACACTCACCAATACCCACTGCTGGCTTCTTACTCAGTCTCTCCTGATACTCAGGGAAGCATGAGGAAATGAGAGGGCAGAGAGGGGGCAGAGAGCATTTGGAGTGCTGTGGTCACAAGCCCAGGGACACCTGGAGCCCCCAGAAGCTGGCAGAGGCAGGAAGGATCCTCCCCTAGGGCTTGCGGAGGGAGCCTGGATCCATAACATAACTTTCAAATAATGCACATACAATTCTCAGCAAACCAGCCTCTTGTAAAGACAAAAACAAAACCAAATCTAATTTGTCTCAAATTATATACAAATTATTTTAAAGTCTGTAAATACTTTAAGCCAGATAAGAATTTTGCTGATACTTTAGTGGTCTCTAGAGGCTGGGTACCCAGGTCTAGCCTAGGGAATGAATCAGATCCCACTGGCAGCCCCCCTCCCCTGCAACCTAAATCCCCCATGTGATATATGTTCACGTCCAAATGAACACCAAGAAGAGTTGTGATTTAACAGACATTTCTCTAAAAAAGATACACTTTACAGATGACCAATGAGCACATGCAAATATGCTCAACCTCCCTAATGATCAGGGAAATGCAAATCAAAACCTGTTAGGATGGCTATTATCGAAAAAACCCAGAAAACAGAAAATAACAAGTGTTGACAAGGATGTAAAGAAACTGGAACCCTTGTTCACTGTTGGTGGGAACGTAAAATGGTGCAGCTGCTGTGGGAAACAGTATGGTGGTTCCTAAAAATATTAAACATAGAATGACCGTAGGATCAAGCAATTCCACATCTGGGTACATACTCCAAAAAACTGAAAGCAGGGATTTGAACAGATACTTGTACACCCATGTTCATGGCAGCACTATGAACCGCAGCCAAAAGGTGGAAGCAAGTCAAGTGTCTGTTGATGGATAAACAGAGAAAATGGAATATTATTCAGCCTTAAAAATGAAGGAAATTCTGGCAACTATGGAATGGGAGAAAATATCTGTAAAACTTGTATCTAATAAGGAGTTAATCTCCAGACTGTATTAGGAACTTCAAATCAATAGCTAAAAAAAAAAAAGAAAAAAAAATCCAACCCAAACTAATAACCTGATTAGAAAATGAGCTTAGGACTTGAATAGACATCTCTCCAGAGAAGACGTACAGATGGCCAACAGGTACATGAAAAAATGCTCAGTGTCATTAATCATCAGGGAAATGTAAAACAAAACTTCAATGAGATACCACTTCACCCCTGTCAGGATGGCTGTTATCAAAAAGTCAAAAGATAAGTGTTGGCGAGGATGTGGAGAAATCGGAACCTTTGTACACTGTTGGTGGGAATGGAAAAACGATACAGCTACTGTAGAAAACAGTATGGAGGTTCCTTAAAAAATTCAAATAGAACCACCAAACCACCATATGATCCAGCAATTCCAATTCTGGGTATATATTCAAAAGAGTTGAAGCCAGAATCTTGAAGAGATATGGGTACTCCCAAGCTCATTGCAGCACTATTCACAATAGCCAACATGCAAACAACCTAAGTGTTCATTGATGGATGAATAGATAAAGAAAATGTGGTATATACACACAACGGAATACTATTAAGCCTTAAAAAAGGAGATTCCACTATATGAGACATGGATGAACTTTGAGAACATTATGCTAAGTGAAGTAAGCCAGTCACAGAAGGACAAATACTGCATGATTCCACTTATATGAGGGACCTAAAGTAGTCAAACTCACAGAATCAAAGGGTGGAACGGTGGTTGCCAGGGGCTGGGGGAGGGGGAAAGGGGGAGTTACTGATCAACGGGCAGAAAGTTTCAGTTAAGCAAGATGAGTAAGCTCTAGAGGTGTGTTGTACCTATTGTACATTCAGATATTTATTAATATGGTGGATCTCATCTTAAGTGTTCTTACAACAATAAAATAAAAATGAAAAGAAGGGACATTCTGACACATGCTACAACATGGATGAACTTAAGCTAAGTGAAATAAGAACCTTGGAGACATTATACTAAGTGAAAGAAGCCAGACACAAAAGGACAAGTACTATATGATTCTACTTACATGAGGTCCCTAGAGTAGTCAAATTCATAGACACAGGAAGTAGAAGGGAGGGTGCCAGGGGCTGGGGGAGGGGGAGAACCGGGAAGTGATGCTTAGTGCATACAGAGTTTCAGTTCTACGAGATGCAAAGAGTTCTGGAGACGGATGGTGGTGATGATGGTTGCACGACAATGTGAACGCACTTAATGCCACTGAACTGTACACTCAAAATGGTTAAAATGGTAAATTTTCAGTTCTGTCTATTGTACCACACATACACTCACACGAACAGCTGTAAGTGAGAAAATAAGACCCCAAAGAGCAACGTACGTATGCCCTTGTTCCTCTATACGCACTGGGACAAGGCCTTAGGCTAAAAACAATCTAGGAAGAGAACCATCTTCTATTAGGGAAACCCAAGCGCCTGGCTCCACTTCTGGGCAAGGGGGCGGAAGGTCACTGATAGGATTAGATACAGAGAGAAGGGAGTGAGCCCATCACCGCCTTCCTGCTGGGGAGAGTCTCCAGCTAGCGAGTCCTGGGGACAAAAGGACGGGATAGTCTGTCCATTTCGAACCAGATAGAGACAAGTGTTCCTTCCTTTGCGGACGTGGGAGACCAGGCTCTTTGTGAAGGGGAAATCCAGAGCAGCTCAGAGGGGTGTGTTGGGGTAGTCCGGGCCTGGCCTGCTGCTGTCCACAGACTCAGTGCAGGAAGCTAAACTGTGGCCACCGCGAGCTCGATACCCTAGTCTGTGGAAGAACGACGCCAACAACATCCAAGGCTTCCCACCACTTCCCCAAAAGTCTCAATCAGCTCAGTCTTGTCCTTTCATGGATCTGAGGTGTCTCTGTGCTTCTGTCGGCCATTCATCTCTCTGCTGGTCTATTTACTTTTAGGACACAGAAAGGCCCTGATTTTGAATTTGTGGTGGCCACTGACAAAGCCAGCCTGAGAGCTTTAGCTTATGCTGTTCCCTCCCCCTGGAATATTCTCCCTGTTCTCTCCACGGTGAGCTGCTCTGCTCAGCTGTCACCTCTGCGAAACCTCCTCCCCCTCCCCGGGCAAGGTGAGCAGCTTCCTCAGAACAGGTTTCTGTTCTCATTCTAACACAGCACACAGCTTTAGGCTTTCTCCCCGCCACATCTGTCCTGGCCCGCCAGGCTGTGAGCCCCTGGAGGGCCGGCAAGGACCCTGGAATGGAGAGTATGGGTTGAACTGTGCTGCTGCGGCTGGTGTAAGAGGCCTCATCTGTAGAGCAGCGATCCTTCCCACAGACTTCAGAGTTGCTGTAGGGCTGAAACAAGCCCCAGGGGTAAAAGGGGAGCTGTAACTTGTCAAAAAGTTGTAAAAAAGCACCCTGGTGTCAGCTCAGTCACTCATACATTCCCTCATTCACAAGGCCATTGCCAAAGAGAACCTTGCACAGCACAGGCATTCAGGGAGTCCAGCATCTGGGGTGGGAGTCAGGCTTAGCAGAACATTGCAGAAGTGCCTTTGACTTCCGATGAGGGTAAACCCAGGCGGAGAGGAGATCCCTAAGCCAAGTTCTAAGGCCCTGGAGGCGTGAGTCAAACAGAGGGGCTGGCTGTCTGGCTTGTACTCATAGGGAGGCTGCTGCTGAAGGCCTGGAGTGGGAGAGGAGCGAGCAGCAGAGGTGGGAAAGAGAAAAGAAACGGCATTTAAGGGGGAAAATGGATAGAACTTGGAGGCTGGTTAATGGGAAGGGGGCACGAAAAGAGTCAAATATGACTGCAAGGTTTTGGACCTGGTTTATGCTCAAAGAGGAAGAGGGTAAAGGGCAGAAGGTCGGTGAACACTGTCGTTTAATGAATGTCAATAAACCTCAGGCTTTTTTCAGCCTGAGAAACTTATGCTCTGTCCCCTGCCCAGAGGGGAAGCAGGTAAGGGCTGAGAGCACACGTCCCATTGTAATTCTCCAGGCAGGTCTCACACTTCCAAAACTCCTGTGACTTTGCTCAGGAGGTGTCTCCGCCTGCAATGCCCCTCACTATCCACCTGGAGTGTTTGGGTGCCAAAAAGAATATATTTTGATGACCTGCTCCCTCTCACGCTCATATCTGCTTCACTCCCTTCGAAGTCTGCTCCCAGGCCTCCAGCTCACTTCCCTGGGCTGCTTTAAGCCAGGCGAGAACTACAGTGATCCTGTCTTGGAACCTACTTGAGAGGCAGGGGATGCTCTTGAAGGGACACGCTCAAAGAAAGAGCCTCAGCTGCATTTGGCCGCTAACTCCCAGACGTCCGAACCTCTGCGACAAGGCTTGGCACGTCCCTTCCCTTCTCCGGGTCTCAGTTGCCCAGTGAGTACAGTGTCTGCTCCAACACGAAAGGTGACGCTCTTCTCTGGCTTCTCTGACCCTAACTCAATCTCAGGCCAGACCAGAGAGTCCCCGACCCGGATCGCCCCACCCAACCCTTCCAGTCCTGTCGCCGACACAAGGGCGAGGTCGCAACCCTTACCCGTCCGTAGGCGGCCCCCTGGCTGTCCCCAGCGCGTCCGCAGCCTTCATCCTCAGCGATCCAGCGGCCTGCAGCACCCTTTCCTCCCCGCCCGCGTGAGTCGAGAATCTGCCGAGGCTCTTCCACCAAGGGAATTGGCTCGGTTTGGTGCTGGCTCAGCCAGTCGGCGCTCGCGGCGTGATCCTGCCCAATGAGGCCAGGCCGCGAGCGCACGGCCCCCGGCCCTGCGCCGGGAGTTCTTCGGCTTAGCCCCACCCACTCCAGCCCTGTGCCAATGGGGAGCGGCAGCGAGCGGTCCGCCAATGGGGAGCGACGCCGCGCGCGCGGGGCGGTGGGAACGGAGTTGAGTCACTGTGTACGTCGGTTGCCGTAACAACGGGAAGTGGAGTCCATCCGCGATGGTGAGTGCGTGCCTCCGTCTGGAACCCCGCGTCCAGAGGCGGAGCCCTTCCCAGGCCTCGGCAAGGCCCCGCCGCCTCTCCTGCGCGGTTCTCGGCCTTGGCGCACTCCTTCTTCCTCTGAGAGCTTTCCCGGAAGGGTAGGGTAGAGATGCCGGCTGCCCTGCTGGGCCTGTGCTTCGTCGCTGTCTCCCCTTCAGCCACAGCCGCCCCCTACCCGCCCCTCGGGTTCCCCTGGCCTTCTCCAGCCCCTTCGGTGACCGTCCCTGGGCAAAAAAGACTCGGGTTCCCCCCAGGCCCCGACCCCTCTCTGACTCTGGCCTTCTGGCCGCCTCTACCAAAGTTTCCACACAGAGCTGGGGGGCAGCTTATTATGTTTGATTATTAATGCATTTAAAATGTTAAATATAGGGACTTAGGGAAACGCTTTGAGCTTCTTGGAGAAGGCTCAGAGGTACCAAGGGGATTGAATTTTATTATTCGATATTGACAGAACATATATCTTACCTTAGTAATATTTGGCCTAAATCTAGAAGTAATCAGAAAATCGGAGAACTTAGAGTGAAGCGGGGTAGCGTTCTAAGGACATTTTTATAGTTAGGATCCCCAGATTCAGGGAGAACTGGTTATCTGTACAGTTCTCCCCAGTCAGCTCCTTGGCTAGCTCTCTTTTGGGATGATTTTTCAATAAGAGACGTCCAAAAGAACAAGGCATTTCCTTGCTTCTACAAACAATAGTTTGTTAAGCAAAGTTTTGGAATTCGTTGGTATAAGCTATCTTAAAATACGTGTGGTTGTAACTATTTTATGTAAAATATGGACTCTTACTTAATATTGTGCTTCTGTGTTTGTAAAACATATAAAGGCCTCTAACTTTAAGAAGGCAAACGTGGCATCAACTGCCCAGCGAAAAAGGATGAGTCCTAAACCGGAGCTTACTGAAGAGCAGAAACAGGAAATTCGAGAAGCCTTTGATCTCTTTGATGCTGACGGAACTGGGACAATTGATGTTAAGGAACTTAAGGCAAGCCCTATACATTCCTGCTCTGCTGACTTATCTTTTCTCTGCCTCTTTGTCTTCTGTGCTGTGTTTTCCTGTCTTTACTTACCTCGAGAATTATTAAATAAAATTGAGCGCACATATCAATTTGTTTAATGTTATAGTGTCTCTTAGTCATTTTAACAGGATTGTGGTAGATGCTGGCTTAACACCCTCAGCCCTGTCATTGTTTCGCGCCTGGGCTTAGATGTGCCTATTGAGATGATCCTCTTTTTGTTGTAGGTGGCAATGAGGGCACTGGGCTTTGAACCCAAGAAAGAAGAGATCAAGAAAATGATAAGTGAAATTGATAAGGAAGGGACAGGGAAAATGAACTTTAGCGACTTTTTGACTGTGATGACTCAGAAAATGGTAAGTTAGCTAAGATGATCAGCATATTTTCCACCAATAATGGTGGACAAATTTGAATCTCGATATGGGAATGTCTTCACTGAAGAAAAGTTAACACAAACTGGAGAGTTCAGATAAAGGAGAGTATTTGTGACTGAGAATTACGATGTTTAGGTTCTACTTGGCTTTCTTCAAGGCCACAGAGTCACAGGGAAAGTCATTTTACCCTCTGAAAGGAAGTAAAAGTCTTCCTGCTATCATGTTTTTTGCTATTGCCTTTCTCCAACCGGTATGTCCGTGTGATACCCACAGGCAGTAAAACTTTTCATACCACCAACAATATTAGAGCGTCTCGCATTTTGACAAGACAAAGTCCATGTGTTTAAAGTTTGAAATTCTTTTCTCTCCTATTTGTCGTTATTCTGGGCAGCCTCAGCCTGAGGCTGTGTTTTTATCGCACTGAGGATTTGGTCTTTCACCACTTCCAAGGTTGAATTCACCCATTTTCTAGTCTCTTGGGTGTCACCCTTTTAAAGGGTCCAAATGGTCCAGAGAGACTCTAAGATGACACCTCACCAGTCTACCTCAGTCCCCTGAGTGTCCCACCCAGGAAAGATGTTCACATTGGTCCATTTCTCTTTCGTTGACCTCCTGGCTCCTCCTTAATGTGGCTCAGCTATGTTCTACTGGCCTGTGGAAAAGTAACTCCATCAGTGTTTCAAGTGTGCTTCCCAGGGCACAGGCCTGTTCCTACTCTAATAATCCTGTTGCTTTGAAATTATCTAATCACACCTATATTTTTCTTCAGAGACTAGTTTAAGAGTTCAGGAAGTTTAACATTCTGTAAAAACCTAGTAAAGCTGTCCCACATTCAAGGTTGATTCCCAGATTGGTCTTATTAGAGGCTCACTCTATCTTTAGCTACCTTTCAGGAATATTTGGACTTGGAGCTCTTGGAGATTTTACTCTTTTCCTCTGTTAGAGTACTTGGGATCCCAGTAACGCTTTGTGATCTCCTAACAAGTGAAATAGTCTTCTCTTTCCTCCCTCCCCCTCCACCCTCACCAAGATTCTCCCTCCTCCACCAGCTTAAGCAGTATATTTCCCCTAAATTTAACTCCACCATCTGCTTGTATATCTTAAAAACACATCTACTTTCTCTTTGGTTTATACAGAAAGTGTTTTAAATACAATCCTTTATATTTCCTTTTTAGCCTCTGGGTTTCTAATAATTTCATCGTTTGTCCCCTTTTTCTACCCTCGTTGATGTGTGATCTTCTGTGATCTAGCCCCTGTGGTCATGAAGGCTGTTACCAAGATGTCTGTGCAGGGCAGGGGGGATGGGCGGTGGTGGGGCTGCAGGAGCCAAGTAAGTATGAGTCATGAATGTCTCCGTATTCATGTGTTTTATGTTCTACTTGTTAAGTCTGAGAAAGATACCAAAGAAGAAATCCTGAAAGCTTTCAAGCTCTTCGATGATGATGAAACTGGGAAGATATCGTTCAAAAATCTAAAACGTGTGGCCAAGGAGTTGGGTGAAAACCTCACCGATGAGGAGCTGCAGGTTTGTGATGCATCAGCCCGGAGCCCTGTGTGGCTTTTCTGACTTACATTTTCTCTGGTTACATATGAAGGAAAACTAGTGTTCTCTCGTCGCTCTGTTGACCACTTAATTTCTCTTTTGATAGTGTGACAAACCTATGGATGCTGCTCCCAGAAAAATACACACGTGAACAATTTTACTTACTATTTTAGGTTTTAGGAATCTCCCTAGTCAACATGATCGTTGAACTTCCTTCTAGGTGATACACATGTGGCAAAGTATGGCTTGGTTTTCAAATGACTTTTCAGGAACCAAGCCATTGTAAAAAGCAGCACATTTGCATCAGGTGGACCACGATTGTCTATTCATGTAGCATTTTAAAAGCCTATTACTTAGTCACGTTTTCGTTTCATTTATGAATTAATCTAACCGGAATCTTTTCTGTGCTGAAGGAAATGATTGATGAGGCCGATAGAGATGGAGATGGAGAAGTCAATGAGCACGAGTTCCTGCGCATCATGAAGAAGACCAGCCTTTATTAAGATCAGTGTCATCTGTTATAACGCGAGCACGTGGAACTCGATTTCGTGCCTGCTGTTGTCTGAAGCCTGGTTTTTGAGAACGTAAATTATTTTTCCCCCACTGACCTCTCTGTATGACTTTAGTAATAACTCTGAATCTATTTTCAACTTTTGAAAGTGTTCTTTGAAACTGAGGTTCTTTGCAAGGTGACCTACTGACTGCTTTAATTCCCCAGGGCAGCACGAGAGCACGTTAGAGTGGAGAAGAGGGTCTTTGAGCTTTTGCACACCTGCTGTTCTGCCTTGTGTCGCTTAACTCTTGTCCCGCATTCCCACATTGATGCCACCGCAGAGCAACTTCTTCACAGGCACACGTTGTACTTGTGTCACCACAAGCAGGGGGCATCTCTTCAATGGTTCCAATTTTAACTGGCACCTGAGTGCAGCTTTCTCTCTCTCTCTTTTTTTTTTTTTTTTTTTTTTTTGCGGTACGCGGGCCTCTCATTGTTGTGGCCTCTCCCGTTGCGGAGCACAGGCTCCGGACGCTCAGGCTCAGCGGCCATGGCTCACGGGCCCAGCCGCTCCGCGGCATGTGGGATCTTCCCGGACCAGGGCACGAACCCGTGTCCCCTGCATCGGCAGGCGGACTCTCAACCACTGCGCCACCAGGGAAGCCCGCAGCTTTCTCTTTTATAAAACCCAGTGAACTCTCTTACTTGCATTTGGATGTGTGTGTGTGTGTGTGTGTGCGCATGCACGCTATTTGTTTTGTCTTCAAATAAAGCCTTTCTTATTTTGAGCTCTTGTTCTCTAAGGATGACTTCTTTAGCCTTGACTATGAGTTCAGCTTCTGAACCATTTCATTGAACGTAGCCTGGTAGATCCCAAGCTCCTTGCCAGCCCGTGAACAGAAAACAAAATGATCCTTTACTATGGATGCGAATTGCTTTTTGCCCTGGGAACCCATCAGTTTCTAAAATTAGTTGACTGTTTTGCATAAGCCTAAATGATGCCCAAAAAAATAGTTTTGGCAAAGTGTACAGCTGGAAAAGAGTCTTATTGGTAATTTGTGCTTGGGACAAATTGGGGAAAGCCAGGTGATTATGACAGTAGTTTGAGCTTAGCCAACCTCTGGTCAGTTTATTTGCTGGATGGTGTCTCAGAATCTCTGTGTGGTTCGGGTCCAGTGACCTTGTCTAGCACCCTCCTGGCCCCATATGGGATGACCTATAAGAGAAATCCCGGCAGATGGCATTAAAGTCTCTGCCCCAGGCTGAGGGTGAGAAGCAAGAAGGGATGAGGAGGAATGGAAAACCGATTAAGCTGATAAAAACAGAACACCTAGGTTAATTTGAATTTCACATCAATTTTTTTTTTAGTGCAAGTGTATCCCATTTGGACATTTTGTTGTTTATTCATTGTTGATCTGAAGTTCAACTTTACCTGGGTGTCTTGTATTTCAACTAGCAACCCTGTGTGGGGTGCATGTTAAAGAGGTGTGACCATGGGCCTCATCTCTGGACACTGGCATCCTGGAGGACTTGGGGGTCCCCTGGACAACTCTCCTGCAGAGGGACTTCTCCTTGAGAAACACTGAGGTATGTGGGGGGAGCCCAGAGTAGCTTCAGACCTGGGTTCTCACAGGGGCTCCACCACTTTCTGGCTGTGTAATTTGGGGCAAGCTGCTTCTCTAGGCACCCCAGTCTCCTTGTTTGTGAATAGGGAGAAGAGTGGTGCTTAACTCAGAATCGCTGGCGGGGCCAATGAAAACAACAGAAAGGGCCTGGATTTATAGTGCCGAGAAGGAGGCATTTCAGAAGTATTTGTTCTCACGCATTCCTTTGGTATGGTTGTCACATAAGCTTTTTGTTAAATGTGGGTCCATGAAGCTTTTATGATTACTGTCCCCAAGGTCGAGTTGACAGAATTTCCTGTGAGGATTTGACCTTTGTCATATTGCTGGGTTTTAATAAGAGGCATATGATCCGATAAAAGACGTACAATATTGGAAACGAGTGAAAAAACTGGGCCCTACTTCCCATTTCACTGTTAGCTGTCACCCTGGAAACATTCTTATCCCCTCCTGCTTAACGTTCTCCTCAATGAAATAAAGTCAGAATCTCTTGGAGGGAGGGAGAGTGGCAAGTAACGTGTTATCCCTAAGGATAAGGACAGACATAATGTGCTTGCCATATGTATGTCTGGCAGCCATTCTAAGATAGGTTTTTTGGGTTTTTTTTTTACATCTTTATTGGAGTATAATTGCTTTACAATGGTGTGTTAGTTTCTGCTTTATAACAAAGTGAATCAGTTATACACATACATATGTTCCCATATCTCTTCCCTCTTGCTTCTCCCTCCCTCCCACCCTCCCTATCCCACCCCTCCAGGCGGTCACAAAGCACAGAGCTGATCTCCCTGTGCTATGCGGCTGCTTCCCACTAGCTATCTATTTTACGTTTGGTAGTGTATATATGTCCATGCCAGTCCCTCACTTTGTCCCAGCTTACCCTTCCCCCTCCCCATATCCTCAAGTCCATTCTCTAGTAGGTCTGTGTCTTTATTCCGGTCTTACCCCTAGGTTCTTCATGACATTTTTTTTCTTAAATTCCATAAATATGTGTTAGCATACGGTATTTGTCTTTCTCTTTCTGACTTACTTCACTCTGTATGACAGACTCTAGGTCCATCCACCTCACTACAAATAACTCAATTTCGTTTCTTTTTATGGCTGAGTAATATTCCATTGTATATATGTGCCACATCTTTATCCATTCATCTGATGATGGACACTTAGGTTGTTTCCATCTCCGGGCTATTGTAAATAGAGCTGCAATGAATATTGTGGTACATGACTCTCATTCTAAGATAGGTTTGCACGAATCCGTGGCTGTGGCACTGGAGCAGAGTCACAGGAGGGTCGGGAAGATGGGGATGCAGGAGGATCTGGAGCCAGTTCATGTGGAGGCAGAAAAGAGCTGCAAGGGAGTGGGGAGATTTGGATGGAGAGGAGGCTGCGGTCAGTTCATGTGCGGCTGGGTCAGATAGACTGATGGGATGGGAAGGATGGGGGGAGGCAATGGTAGGCGAGGCTAGCACAGGTGCAGTTGATGCAGAGAGTGTAGGGTGAGTAGGGTCATGAAAAGGGAGCGGAGTAGAGGTTAGTTCATGTGGGGCTGGACCAAGAGATATAGGCAGAGTGGTTGGGTAAACTCTGGGCGGTGTGGGGGTGGATAGGGAGGGAGAGACAAGGTAGGTCAGTTCCCGAGGATGGATGGTCTACAGAGCTGGAGGGGGATGGTGGGGGATGGGCAGGGAGAGAGCGGGAACGGGTCAGCCCCTGTGGGTGGACCAGAGATGTAGGGGGAGTATGGCAGCGTGGACTGGGAGACGTAGCAGAGGTCAGGTCAACTGGTGATGGAGCAGAAAGATAATTGGGGACTGGGAAGTAAGGGACTGAGGTCTGTCCATGTGGGTAGGAAAAAGTGATGGGTGGGGAAAGGAGAGGGAGAGGGAGAAAGGGTTGGTTTCTGTGCAGACGGATCAGGGCTGTAGGGGCTTGGGGGTGACGAGGAGGGGAAGGCAGCAGGTGTTAGGTCATGTTCAGCTGGAACAGAGAACTATAGTGGGTTTGGGGTGATGGGGAGGGAAAGGATACATAGTTCAGTTCATGTTGGGCTGGACCAGAGAGTTGTGGGAGAGTGGGGGCGGGATTTTGATGATACAAGATTTTGACTGGTTTGCAGGAGCATAAACCAGAGAGCTCTATGGGAGTTGGGGGAAGGGGGAGGAGGGACCAGGGGTTCCTACATGTGGGGCTTGACCAGAGATATGCAGGTGGAGTTGGGGGGAAGAGAAACAGAGGTTGGTTCATTTGAGGGTGGAGTAGAGAAGCATATGGGTGTGGGAGGATGGTGAGTGAGAGAGGGCATTCCGCATTGGGCTGGGCATTGGGAAGCAGCGGGAGCTGAAGTTAGTTGATGTAAGATGGACCAGAGACGACCATAGTGAGGTGGCAGGGATGTGGATGGAGAGGGAGCGGAAGTGCCTTCACATGGGGCTGGAGCAGAGGGGTGTGGGGAGATGGAGGGCCGGGGATGGAGAGGGAGCCGCCATCAGTTCCCATGAGGATGCTGTGGAGAGATGGGGGTGGTGGTGGGGATGGGAGGTTTAGGGGAGAAAACGCAAGTGGGGTGGGGAGGGAGAAGTCAGTTTCTGTTGGGCTTTGTGGGCCTCCCTAGTAACTCAGGGATGTACTAAGTTTCCTTGAAATAACTCTCCAGTGGATTAGTCTTTTCTTTGCTCCAAAGTGTTCCAATGACTAGGAACAGCCAGATTCATCCATAGCCATACTCAGGTTTGATCTAAGTAGAATCTAAGGAAGTTGTTTAAAGAAAGGAGGGGGCTTCCCTGGTGGCGCAGTGCTTGAGAGTCCGCCTGCAGGGGACGCGGG